CAGCAGGATCTTCACAAGAAATGTGAAAGAAAAGTTGTGTGGATATAAGCACACCTAAGACTTTCATCCTCAGGTGGCGGATCCCGGCGTCGCAGCTGGGAATGCCTGGCTTCCCAGGCAGGGAATGCCAACACTGCCCCTGCCTTTTGTCTCATTTGAGCCAGTCCTAAAAGCCATGGACACTGGGAGAAACCACTTTACCTTGTTCAGGTAGATGATTGATATCTGGGAACATTTTTATTGACATCAGGGAAAGACAGGGGGGAAAGTGATGCAGAAACTTTTGTCTCCCCAAAAATACTGAGCTGCAAAAATCACGAGGTACGTCGGGTTTCTCAAGGAGGCCCAAGATCAGGGAAGAATAATCCTAAACTTGCAGATAAATTCCTTGATGAAATCACTGTATATATACGTAATTACTGTATATACTCCTGTACACTCAGTCCTTGTTAAGCTGTGGTTCTGTTTGCTAAAAAACCTTGAAGACTGGTTTTGTGGAAGCACCACTATTAACTCCAGGCAGCTTTGAATTGTCCCTGGGAATTCCTTCTCCACTCTTTTCTGGACAGTCTGTCTCAATTTTTAAGAGATAATTTGGTTTTTTATGTTGTGTAATATTTTTTTTTTGTATGATACATTTTCTATACTTTTTTAAAACCTTTTGTGTTTTTTTTTTTTTTTTCCACTTGATCCATTTTAACTGGAATAGAATTGGGTGCTGAAATGAAAGTGGGAGATGCCAAGAATCTCTTCAGAGGTTGTGACTTTGTTGGCAACACACAAAGGGTTGGACTCAAGGAAGTAAGAGATTCTTTGCAGCATCTTCCTCTCTGTATGTTTATGAAAGGAAAAGCATACTTTTAAAAAAATAAGGATTAAAAAGGAAAAATTGACACTACTTGCATATGGGGTTTGAGTCTTTCTTCCGTTTTAGCTGTTGTGGATGAATTGGTGCAAGGTTGTGTGTTGTGGGCCATCCTTCCAACCCTTGGTGCTCCATTGCTACCTACACCCGAGGGGATGGCTGAAGGAAAGGGCTGTGTTGGTTCTCTGGACCTCCTGGGTTCTTCTCCCAGGGAGGCTTTTAGGAGAAAAAAAGGCTGTGGGAGGCAGGGAGGCTGGGGTGGGGATCTCTATCCCCCAGCAGAGCTGGCCTTGGCACTTCTCTTTGGAGCAAGCAGGGAGAAATTGCCACTGGGGGAACCCTTAAGATACCAATAAAACCCAAAGCTCTAGTAGGACCCTCCTGTCAGAAGCAGAAATGGGTGAATCTGAGATGGAAGGAAGATGCTTTGTTGTAATAATAAGGGTAACTGGAGATAATCTATGGTCGAAGGGGATGATGAGGTCTTCAACCTTCAGGTTCTTTAAATCAAAATCAGGAAGCTTTAACAAAAAGTACAGCATTTCTGTGGCCTTCAGTTTGGCTTTGGTCACTTCTGGCAGCCAGGAGGAAGTAAGGCATTGCAGCTGCACACAGACATTGGGCACGGGGTTGCTCTTACCTCAGACCTTGGTCTGTGTTGTGGGTGGGCTGTGGGAGTGGGTGGGCAGTGGTTTTGGTGCCACCAGAAACCCCTGGGAATGGGTAGGGTTGTGTTGTAAGGGCTGGTGTGTGCAGGTAACACCAGCTCCTGGGGACAAGAGGAGAGGATGAGCTGTTCCCTGAGTGTCTGGTGGAGCTGGGGGTCCCACCAGCCCCTGGACATCCAAGGGGGCTCCTCAGGGGTCCCCAGAGATGGGAGGGCAGAGCTTGGAGAAGGCAAGCAAGGGGAGAGAGCTGAAGAAGAAGGTGCAGACGTGGTGATGAGGGCAGCAGAGGCAGCGTGGGGCTGGGTGGGACTGGGACTAGGGGGAGGACAGAGCTGCCCTGGAGGGGTTGGACACCTTCCTCTGGGTTGGTTTGTGTCCTGCAGGCAGGAACTGGGAAGATCACCATCTCATCCCAGCGTCCTTCCTGGCCTTCAAAGCTGTGCAAAAATCCCTGTCTGGCTGGAACAACTTCACCATTGATTTTGGAGGGGCTGGGATTTCACCCTGGAAACTGTGTAACCAGCTGGAAAATGCCTGGAAATGAGGATGGAAGTGAAGGGGCTGCTTTGAGGGCTCAGGCTGAGAGAAAAATCCACAAGAAACCCTTCTGGTGTAAGTAACAAGCTGGAAGCAGGAGTTTGAAAGAGGGTACCAGTGCTGGATGTTCTGCTGGTTCACCCTCACGTGCCAGCAATATTCCAAGTATCTTGGAATGGTTAATGTCATATCTCAAGGGAGGAAGGAAAAAAAGGCACCAGGTTTGCAAGGCAACCTCCAATTTTATTAGGCAATAAATAGAATAAATAAGGAATGTAACAATAAATAAGTTGCTTATTCCTGATAGGTTTCAGTTTCTAAAAATTACAGCTGAATAAATAAAACAAGTAAGACAACAGGTGAGGGTTTGGTGGTGTGAGGATGATTTTGGGACTGAGATGTAGCTTATTTTCCAGAGACTTGAGAAGTTTAACACGGTGGCTTAAAAGGCGCTGGCGACAGCTAAAAACTTGGAGGCAACTCTGTGACATATTCTCTGCTGAAACCAGAGGTCCAGACCGGGGTTCCTTTGGGTTTGCTTCTCCTTCAGGCTGCCTGGAGGTGGGGCTGGGTGCTCAGAGGGAGCTCCCAGGGGAGCAGAGGAAGCCCATCAGGCGGGTGATGCTGAGGGCGCGGGTGCGGAAGGTCTGGAGGAGGATGCAGAGCCTCACCTGCTCTGCCATGGGCAAGGTGGGAGCCCTGCCCTCCTCAGGCTGCCCCCTGCTCCTGCTGCCACCCTGCAGGGCCTGGGGAGAGGGAAGGGGCTTAGAAACTGGCACCACAAAGCGGCTGCAATTAAAAAAGCTTGAGATTTATATTCTTTTTTCCCCCCCACCCCAACGCGAGCGATGAAGCCTGAGGCTCCAGGGAGACCTCACAGCAGCCCTGGGGGCTCCAGGGAAGCTGGGGAGGGGGCTGGGACAAGGAGGAGACAGGAGGGGAATGGGTTAATACTGGAAGAGTGGAGATTGAGGTGAGACATGAGGAAGAAATTCTTCCCTGTGAGGGTGGTGAGAGCCTGGCCCAGGTTGCCCAGGGAAGCTGTGGCTGCCCCATCCCTGGCAGTGTTGAAGGGCAGGTTGGATGGGGCTTGGAGCAACCTGGGCTGGTGGGAGGTGTCCCTGCCCATGCAGGGGTTGGGTCTAGATGAGCTTTAAAGTGCCTTCCAACACAAACCATTCTATGATTCTTAATGGCATATTTAATAGACTTAGGATGCACATCTGTACTTGAGACAAAACTGCCCATTCCTGCACAAAGGCTCTTTCTGCCTAGGAATAAAGACCATAGAATGGAATGATAGAAGGGTTGGAGGGGACTTTAAAGATCATCTAGTTCCAACCCCTGTGCCATGAGCAGGGAGATGCTTTTTTAATCCTAAAAGGTTGTTTTAATCTTAAATCTGTGGCTGGCTTTGTCTAGTGAACCTTTAGACTGGGCTTATCTGCCCATGGGCAGAAACTCCAGGCTATGGTAAGATGCTGTGTCAGTATAAAGGCAACTAGATTTTTTCCTAATTAGCTCTTGTCAAACAAGCAAACAAGCTTTTAACATCTCTTCCCTCTACTCACTAGTAATATCTGTCAAAGCTCAGCATACTTTGTGTCATACTCAACATACCAAGTGTGTTATATCTCAGTATTTGGAACAGAAATAGAGCTGTGTCCCTTTTACTGATTTTGAGTTCTCTGAGGAACTGGCAGAAAATCCTCTACCCCATCTCCTTGTGAGAGCAGAGCAGTTGTGAAAGGAGGAGGATGCATGGCTGAGGAGCCAGAAATCACCAGGTTGAAGAGAAGCCACTATTTGACCATGGGATAGAGCCAACTGGATGCAAACCTCAGGTGTAAGACAGCAATGGTAGAAAGGAAGGAGACAGACTTACTTCCATCATGTTATCAATAGCTGCCAGCAGCTTTTGATCGTTGAGGTTCCTCAGCTCTGCCCTGTAGGCACTCAGATCCTCATATATTGCCTGCAGGCATTTTCCCTGCAAAAAATCCAGTGGAAAATGCTTTACACATGCAACAGGTGAAAAGAAGGAGTTCTTTTGGGAAAGCTGCAATTTACCTCATCCAAAGTAGATCTTTCCAGTGCTGGACAGTTTCCAGGCTGCAAATAAAAGAAGAGACAAGATGTGGTGTATTTGTGGAAGTGTGACTTCTAGGGCTGTTCTGGGAAAATATGCTGAAACAGGATATTTTTTATTATTATTATTATTACCCCAGGTTCCTTAGAGAGACAAGCTTTTATCGTGTTGGTTTGATTCTTAGTGATATCATCCAGGTCAACCTCTTCCAGGGAACATGTAAATTGCAGCGTGCCCAGCTCCTGTGTGAAAAAGGGGCATGGAAAAGGGATCATCAGCTCCCCTTCATGGTACCACATGTGTATCTGCAAGCACAGGTAAGTGGGGTGTCCCACATGTCTGCACTTTGCTGAAGGCTAAGGTTAAACACACAAGGGAGCAACTAGACTAAGAGGCTGAGATGCAGGTGGGAGTGGGGTTTGAGGGGAATGAGCTCAGGCTTTGCACAGGTTTGGTTTGAATGCTGTTGCAAATTGCACTGTACATGATTTTCTCTCAGACCAGGGACCTGCTGGGGAGTTTGAGTCACTGTCTTTTGAAACGTGTCTTTAAAAAATGTGAAAAGTAGCTCCTGCCTGGACACTCAGCAGTGCCCTTACCTGGACACTCAGCAGTGCCCTTACCTGGACACTCAGCAGTGCCCTCAGCCTCCCTGGGACCCATGCACCTACCTGAGGGTGGGGCCTGTGCTGCTCTTGCAGAAACGGCAGGGAATTTTAGGGAAGATACTGCCAGGGCACCTCAGTGTGGAAAGGTGCTGCAGAAGCCACATGCCAACGCACTGACTAAGTCAGGGACAGGTATTCCCTGAGCCGGTTCTGCAGGGGCCTCCAATTGTTCAGAGATGAGAGGGTTAGAAGCAGGGGCTGGTGCCCTGAGGTGTTGGTGCTGCTGTGGGGCTGAAGGGCTGAGGGGAAGGGAGCAAATCCTGCCCTGAGGGGCTGGGCAGAGGGGGCGTGAGGGCGAAGATCAGGTAGAGGGTCTTAGAGGGAGTATCCTGGGGACCCACAGCAGCCCATCACCAGCCCCTGGGGACTCTCACCAGCCCATCCCTGCCCTGATGCCATCACTAACCCCTCCCTGCTCTCCTGGGCACCCTCACCAACCCATCCCTGCTCTCCTGGGCACCCTCACCAACCCATCCCTGCTCTCCTGGGCACCCTCACCAACCCATCCCTGCTCTCCTGGGCACCCTCACCAACCCATCCCTGCTCTCCTGGGCACCCTCACCAACCCATCCCTGCTCTCCTGGGCACCCTCACCAACCCATCCCTGCTCTCCTAGGTTCCCCCACCTCACCCCCCCTGCTCC